AACAAAAGCAATGGTAGTTCTTTACTCCACAATCTCTAGAATAGACATTTGCTCATTATATACCGGATTTCGTTTTTAGATTCCAAACTGGTAATATGTGTTTCTTGCAGCAAAGAAGAATCAACATGTCTAGTGAAACATTGCTTTCCAGAAACATGTAATTTATGTTTGTTTTAAAAATCAGGGCTCTGTCAAACCATTTCAATATCCTCTCTCACAGTAAATCAATAAAGATTCCTAATCAATAACTTATGCATTGAGCATAATAATTCATGTCTATACATTCTACATTCTGACAATTTGAAGGAGTCACTTCAATAATAAATGTTGAATTCCCATACTTGGCTTGCTAGTGCAGTAAACTACACTGGTGCCAATTTCAACTCCTTAGAAGCCTCAGCGTTACAAAATTTATAAAAGAGTTGCTTTCATTTAAAAGAATAGATTCTAGCCAATTGTCATATACTTTGTGCCATAATCCGAAGTTTAATGCAGTAAATATAATGTATAATGTGGCAGATGATAGAATACTGGCCATAAAAAACACCAGATTTACAGAAATATAACTTTACAATAGGGTAATATTTTTTAAAAGCACATGGGACATTTATTCAAGGGGTTTTGTAATTGTTTTAAATGAGGAGGGAGAGGAAAGGAAAAAAGAGAGGGAGATGGAAATAGACACAGATTTACAGAAAGAGAGATGGGGTAGAAGAGAGAGAAAGAGAATATGACCTGCTACATTTATGGGGATCAGCAGGGCTCTCAAGTGTTTAGAAATGTCACTTAATGCTGAATTTCCTGTTGTGAAGCAATGTTGTATTATATCTTATAGTCTATTGTTTAATTCTGTCCTGAAGCTTGAAATATCATTTGACTTTAATTTATATCACTGCATCATAAAGAGTATGTTGAATCAAGACTGCTTTCTTGAAAAAAGATTGAAAATTGAAACCACGTGATTTGGTAAAGTGCTTATAATGTTTTTGACAAACTCTCTAAGGATACGAATCCCTTCACTGAAAGGGATTTTTATATGAAGGCATTTCAACCTCCCACAGGCAGGCATTATTTTGAAGGAATGCTACATTTCATTTCCAAAAATGATGCAAAATGTGATTTTGTTTTGCTCCTTCTTATTCAATTTGCAGCTTTCCCTTTCTTTAGTTCCAACTCCAATATGGTTAATGTTTAAGCAATGTCTCTTAGTCATAAAGTGTATAGGTCATCACATACATTGCAAGAAAGAAATAGGATAACAATATAAAGAAACTGATGAAAATAAAGCACTTTCATTCTTAAAAAAAAAGTTACTTTTTGTGAGAAGTTGCATTGATAATAGAGTTGAGCAAAAGTTGTATTAAAATTTTTTAAACAGGTCAGATTATTTCAACTTATCACTGTCAATATTAGTTTAAGAATAATACATTCCCAGAAATCTAAAAATTTAATGTGATGGGTCTTATTTTTTGACAATATGTGTGTACAGTTAGTTCAAGTGAATGACGACAAAAAGGTGTGGGAAAAGCAAAATGGCCTTATATGCTTTAGATGCCCTTCTATTCAAGAAAGACAGGACAACTGGATTGTAAAAGGGCTCAAGGGCTCATACCAAAATGTCAAGTGAGGTGAGACTGCTCTACAGTCAGAAAAGAAGAGGGCACAGGTGACCCAGAGCTGATATTGTTATCTTACGAAACAGGCATTGCTTGGTAATTGTTTGAAATGGTCTCTTGTTCTTATGCATGAGAAAAAATCTGTAATTTTGAAGGTTGAACTTATTGGGGTAAATGCAGAAAAGTATACGAATGCTTTGTGAATATCATCCAAAGGTTCCAATTAGAAAAGAAAAAGGCAGATTTTCTTTTAAATTTAGGACTTGTATTTTTTTCTGTAGATTTCAAATTATTGCAATTATGACAAAAAATATATTTTTGTGAACTCATTGGTCTGTATGAGTGTCAAGAAAAGAAAAATAGATTTGTCTGTGCTAACTTTCAGTCTTTCAAATATGCATATATGGTGTCATTCCAAGTACTCTTCTTTTTACTCCTTAAAATATCCTAATAGGAACCATATATTGTACTTAGTATAATGCTTAATCAATTTTACCATTGCTCAGTATAAGTCTAAGAAGGATGAGGAAATTTTTCTTGCTACTTGGTTTTTAACTTCAATCTCTTCCAGACATGACTCTTAAATATATAATATGGTTAGTAAATTGTCTCTTTTGAAACACTATTCCAGATAATATGTTGGGTTAATCGAAAGTAGAGTTTTATAGACCTGAAATTTAGAGATCAAATATCTGCATAAAATTACTTATAATTGGCATAAATACTTTTTATGTTTTTCTATTTATAATTTCAGTATTTTACAAGTACGTCTAACGTGACGACAGTATTACAATGTAATTTGCATAGTAGAAATAAGAATATAATGTGGCTAATGCTTTTAATGCCCAAGGGCTATACTAGAGGTACTTGGGTTTACATCACTGATTTGTATTAATTGCTTACTATGAAACACTGTTACTGATAATAACACTTAACAAGAATATGGTTCACTTTGCTGCTGAATCAGCATCATCAGAGCCAATACTATTGCTGTGCTGCAGCCTAGTGGAATGATTTGGTATAAAAATGACATATTCCAGTAAGACACGTTATCACTTGCTGCAAAGTAGGTTAAGAAACAGAAAATCAGTCATAAGCACAGAAACCCCCCAGATAGTATATACTTTGCCTTAGTTATTTGCTTATATAAAAACTTAAGTAAAGGTAAAGAAATTCACCTTATTTTTATGCAAGAGTCACATATTTTGAAATTAACCTTTCCAGTTTCAAATAGTCTATTTTTCACAAGAAAATAAATAAATAAATAAATACCTCTTCCAGATTACACTAACTTTGTAAATAATATGTCAGAAATATCACTCTAAATTAAAATCAATTTTTTATCCTCTTTTTTTCCTTTTTAAAGAAAACCACAGTGTGGGTAAAAATCTAACAATGAAATATTCAATTGATTACCTGCACAGTACTGTTCTAATTAAGAAGCAGTTTCTATAAACATTAAAGAACATCACCTAGAGCATTAATCAGGTACCAAACCATTTAACCACTGACTTCACACATATGCATATGTAGGTGGATGCTCATACAGTTTACCTTCTTTTTTCCCATTTCCCAGAGATTTTGGTTTTGTTTGTCGGTTTTTTCCCCCAAACCTTTAAGTGTATGGAATTCTATTCTTTGATTGGAGTCAGGGAAGGCATATACATTCACCAGGGAAGTCAATTTGTTCGCAGCAAGTATTTGAAACCCAAGAAGTATTTGATTTAATGAAAGCAGACATTGACTCATACTTTAATAACACAGCCAAAAAAAAAAAAAAGTGAAAGAAGCATTTCTTTATATTTTTATCATCAGAATGGGTTTGTATCTGATGTGTCCCTAAGGCACAGATCCATGCTGTTTATACTTGTGCACTCTCCAGTCTCTTCACCACATCCCTCCCCAGATAAACCATTCCTTCCTTATGCATTGCACATTGAATACATATGTGCCACATTTAGTACACTGGGGGGAGCAGGGGCCAGATTATCTATGCAACTTAGCATTTACCTATATTTCTAGGACATAACCTCTTCCTTTCTTCTTCATCACTTTAACTAAAAATGAACATACGGCTCTGTCAATGACATAATGTTTTCATGAAAGTTCTACTAATTAAAAATCCTCACCATACCAGACCTAAAAAATGAGCACACTCTTGCCAAGTGTTATTCACCACAGAGAAGCTCTTGTAGCTACATTTTAAAGGAAGATAGAGAGGGGGATGGTGTGGAGGGAGAAAGTCTACTAACATATGCATTGAAGTATAACAGTTGTCAACATCAGAAGGACAGATTATTTTTAATATAGATCCTTCAAGAAAAAAAAAAGAGGAGAAAAAATAATGTATCCCCAAAGAGCTGAGAAGTAATGGATGTGCAGTTTTGGATAATAGAAGCTTTTACTGGAATGAAGGACTACAATTTTTTTCAGATCTATTTTTTTCAAAGCAAAAGATGATAGGTCATTTTTAAAACAATATTTGTCTTTGTACCTGTAGACTCCTCTTTTTCAATAATAAGGAGACAGTAGGTTTTTATTTTAGTGGCATAAAAACAATTTCAGACTACTGCTTTTCCCCATACTTACAGTGTTATCAATAGTTACTTGTTGGGGACATGCATTTATACTTGCAATATGCTGCATTAATTTAACACCACATAAAATATGGATTTTATTGCAGCAGAAACAATAAATGCTGCAACTGCTGACTACACGCATTTACTCTCCCTCTCTTTACCTCTCCCCCCCCATACTTCTGACTCAGATACAAAATTGAAAATAAGAATTCTGTCTATTCTATTTCTGATGAATGTCAATCTATTGTATGTATGTAGATGCTTAGTGACCATTGGCAGTTTCAAGGAATCTGTCTTCTGCCTGTCATTTCTCTTTATATTGAACGTACAATGAACTATGACTATGAATAAGTGCAGAGTGAATCCATTCATATGGAATGCAAAGTAATGTTAGATGATGTTAGAGTTCACAGCAACAATGTTATCTCTTGAACTGATTTTTAAAATAAAGATGAACAAGTCTGGGCATGACAAATTCACTTCATAACATATTTTTTAGCATTTGTTCCAAGTGAATGAATTCACAAACTCTAATATCATGACCCACTGTTGAGCATAATATATAATTTATCCAGCTTTACATTGCCTATATAGATACTCGAAGCAGTTGTTGCTAGAATTAAATATATAGTTGTATGCTTATTTATTTAGGTACTAAAGATAATTATTTTGAAATAATTGCTAAACACAACTTAAAAACAAACATTTCTCTCCTCCCTCTCCCCCCCCACCCCACCTCTCAAGTAGAAGAACATAAAATCCCTTAAGGGAGTTAAAAGAAAAGAGGTAAATGAAGTCTTCCTACCTTTTTTTATCAGCTTCTGGATAGTGGAAGTTGGTTCCAGTCAAAATAACCCAGGAGAAATTGTCACTATGTCCCCTTTTTGTTTATTTTCGGCTGTTATTTTCTATCACTGATTCTACTTCAATCTAACTCAAGCTCTTTCTCAGCATCACTTTTAACTCTGGACAGCAGGGAGCCGAAGAAAACGGGGGCGAGCTCTCTCTCTGATTGGCTTTCATTCAGTGCTTCTGATTAAGGGGAAAGGAAAAAAAAAGGAAAGGGAGGAAAAAAGCTCTTCCTCACACGGAGAGAAAGGTTCTGCTGATAGAGCTGCAGCACTCGCCATGGGAAGGTTAGAGACTGGGGAAGCGCTGGCTTCTGCGAGCACACAGCGATTTGCAAGTGAATGCGAGGGGAGGGCGCATCCGAGAGGAGGGCTTTGCTTGAAAGGCGTCCCCTCCCCCGCAGGGCAGAAAGACTCTCTGTTTCAAGGCTAAGGTAATCAGCCCAATCTAATCCGCCTGTGTCCGTAATACAATCTCAGGAACAGGACTGCTTCTTGCAATTTTTTCTAAAACAGATCGTTCTTCTGGCATATATATTCCTGCACCATCCTTACACCAGACTACCGAAATCCACATATTATCGGAGCGCCAAGTCAAATTGCAACCAGATCTGATGTGTTACCAGAGTCATTTTTCGTTGGGGTTTTAAATGTTTATTTATTTTTTGCTTTCCGGGAACTTTCTCGGCTGGATTTTCCCAATCCCTTTTCTTGTTGCTTATTGTCAGAGGAGTACATAGCTCGCTCATCATTTTGGAATGTCCACGAGCCAGTCTTCTGTGCCTCATCTTTGCATTTTAATACTTTATAGATAAAATATTTTATTAAAAATTTAAATATATAATTAGTGTTAGAACTTGACACAGTGTCCCTTTTTTTCTTATTAACTTTTTTTTTCTCATAAATATGAGTTTCATACCCAAATGAGTGTATGGACAGATATAAATACATTTGGATTGTTCTATCTACTTAAACATTTAACTGTCTCGCTATTTATCTATCTCCACATCAAATTGCAATCAACCAAACTTTACCAAAGGATGTCAGTATAGCGCCACAAAGTAATTAACATCTTTGCATTTTTCCGGCTACAGGTAGATTCCTTTTAAAGTGCCATCCATAAATAAATTATATACATATATACATATATATGCACATAGATACATATATGTCAATTATAGTTTTAAAGCTAGAGGAGAAATTATGAAGATCTTTTTGGCCAGTTATTATTATTTTTTATCAGATAATAATGCTCAGAATGTTAAATGGTCACAGGACTAACTGGAGGCGGTGTCAAAGCTGTAATACCGCACTCCTACTTCCGGTTTAGTATTGTTTCCGGTGTGCCATACTGCCTCCTCTGTACCTATTTCATCATTCAAACAGTCAGCAGGCCCCTTATATAATCAGCATAATGAAAAAGGAAGGAAACTCAATCTGGGGGGAAAAAAGAAGTGAGAGGGAGATTCTAAATTAGATTCCAAAAAGGTTTTAATGTATCACAGTGTTATTATTATGATGAATTTTACTAATTAGTTTTATATTTGAAAACACCAAACATTTCCACTGAGCTAAACAGTTAAATGATATTTAGAGCAGAAATGGGCTTTTGAAACTCTTAATTTTACAGATGATACCATTAAGACCAGGAAAATTCTATGGCCCCTCTAAAGTTTGATAATAATAGAACTAGAATTCTGCATTATCACTGTATCGCTTGCTCATAGTTTTTTGTTATGTTTTGTATGTTTTTTTCAACAGGGTGCCTTAATTTCAGGGTCAAGTGAAAATAGATATTTCATTTTTTTACCTGTGATATGTATATTTGTATATATTTGTGTTAGCCTGGTATATGTGTGTACTCAAAATAATACTGTTATTAACATGCTAAAATTAGCTATCAAGAGAAATTTATAATATTTAATTAAATGCAGCAGGTTAGGTACACACACACATTGTTATGTTATTGGATTAACTGTTTCCATATGTTCGTTTAGTGCTAATTTCAAAATATATGACTACACAATGTGAGGAATTTGGGGGTTACATTTAAATGGGTAACCAAAGGCTAAGATCTGAGGTAAATTGCTATTTTATTAATTAGAATACATGTTGCAATGATGTATTCCCAAAATAACATTTTCTGAATTATATAGAAGTTTAGTCTTCTCTTACGTAAGTTTTTGAGTTGGTGTGTTTATTCTGCCCTGTCTAATCGTCAGAAACTCAGGTTCCTTCTATCTTGATGCTTAATGTTTTTAAGGAATTGAACTCATTTATATGATCCAAGAGAGATCACCCCACATCTATCTTCTAGAAAAAGGAATAAAAGGAACAAGAGAAAGTTGCTCCTGTCCCTTGAAAAATGTGACCCTGAAGATGTACATGTCACTTCCATGATCTCATTGGGTGGAATTTAGACATTTGGTCACACATTGTTGCTAGCGAGGCTGGTATTTACTCTCACTATTTGCCCAGCTAAACTCACTAGTGCTGTTAGGGAGGTGACAGAATTGGGTACAAACAGCAGGATTGTCTATTAGATCCATGTATGATAGAGTAGCATATTTTGTACCATGTACTTTTTTGGAGAAAAGCAAATTTTCATTCTAGTTTAAAATTAAAATTGTGTCAGAATGCTAGTAAAAGATATCTATACAACATAATGTTAATAATATTTTAACATTTTGAAGCATGAAACAATTGTCAGTTATTGCATTGTTTCTGTTTTTTGATCAAGTAATATAATTAATAAATAATAGGCAAAGCATCCATGTATTCCAAAGTTCAGGGGATCTAGTTACAGATATGAGAGAATGAAGAGGAAAACATTTGAAAAATAAATGAATTAAACTCATTCACATTTTTCTTAATGTTCATCTCATAAAAGAAAGACTCTATATCTGAGATCATTTGCCATCCTATGCAATATATGCCCTAGTAATTAAAATTAAAATAAAGAATAAACAGAACATTGACTAACATGTAAAACTTCTGACAGTGGGTTTTGTTTTATTAAACAGTATTATTTTTCATTTTCCTTATTTCACAATATAAATGAGTTAACTTGGGATTCTTCAAGCTTTTCTATTTCTTTATAATGTTCCCTCCAAATCTTATGTGAAATAGTCTTGTGAAATAGATAGGGTTTTCCTGTAGTTACCAATATCAGGAAACTGGTAGCACATGGGAAGTGAAATGAATAAATGAAATGTAAAAGGGACAGTAAACTCTCAATGAAATGAATGGGTCAATATCTTGCAAAAGTGCCCTTCAGTGTGAGGAGAGGCCATATATCAACTACAAGCAAATAAAGGCTGATGAAAACTTTTGCAAATATATTTCTATATACAACTTTTAAAACTAAATAGGAAAATACACAGAAAATACCTTAATACAATCACAAAGCACTAAGAAAATTTGAAAGCATTATATTATTAATATAATAATGGGACTCTGTGAAGGCTGATCTCTTCATTGCAAATGTGAAAGATCCAATTTGAGTGAAATCAATTAAATGAAACAACCTTCCATTTTGTAGGAAACTATTTCATGCCTAGAAGTTGTCATGCTGTTGCTAAACAATAAGCTTAACTGCATGAAGTGTCACTTGCTGAATAGCGACATGCTTCTTTTAAAACAGTAGCTTCTTAGCCACCCTTTCCTCGGTTTCTTTGAGTGTTATGAAAGATAATATCAATTTCTATTTTCTGTTAGGAAGTTACTGATACCTAGTTCTCTCTCTACGTCTGTGAAACAAAAGTAAAGAGTGTCCACATTGCTTCGCTCTTCATAAATATGTTGGCAGAATAATAATTTGTCATAGTTTGTTTGACAACATTTTTGCTACACTCCTTCTAGTCTGCCTTACAGGACTGTACAGGCTTGGAAAATTAAAAATCACATTTTCCTTACAGCTAGTGTTTGGGGTAGGAATGGAGGGTGATTCATATTCAGTTTTTCAGATGCCCTCATCATCTTTAATTAGAAACAGAGTTAAATAAGCAGAAAGGCAAGATGCAAGGTATTTATTTCACTACCATAGTAGCTGAGGAACCATAGTTTTGCAGTTACCGTTACCTGGGGCAGTACTGGGAGTTGTTTTGTTTTGTTTTGTTTTGTTTTGTTTTGTTTTGTTTTGAGATGGAGTCAGGCTGGAGTGCAGTGGCATGATCTCAGCTCACTGCAACCTCTGCCTTCCCGAGAAGTGATTCTCCTGCCTCAGCCTCCCGAGTAGCTGGGATTACAGGTGCGCACCACCACGCCCAGCTGGTTCTTGTATTTTTAATAGAGACGGGGTTTCACTGTATTGGCCAGACTGGTCTCAAACTCCTGACCTCGTGATACAGCTGCCTTGGCCTCCCAAAGGGCTGGAATTACAGGCATGAGCCACCGTGCCAGGCTGGGAGCTTTTTGAACCAGGACAATGAATGTGTGATCCTGGGAGCTAGAAGTACTTCGATCTTCACCTAGTGCCTCTCTTTCTACTTAGATTGTTAACCACACAGTGTTCCAAATTCAATTGTTATTATTTGTCTAAAATAGTGAGAGTGGTTTCTGTTATCTGCAACTGAACTGTTACTGATATTTTTCTACTTAATCATATCTCAACATTTCTTAAGTCCTATAACTTGCAGATGGAAAAAGGGAGAATGAATCCTGGGGAAAAAGTGAAGTGTCAAATAGCGATGTTTTAAAAAATGTAATCATTCTGACAAACAATCAATAATTAATTAAAGAACATATGATCTTAAATTTATTTTTATCCTCATGTCCTCTTCTCTTTATAAGTTACTATGCTCTCTGTGCTTTAGGTATAAAGGCTACTGCTTGCTTTCTTGACTTTTTTAGGAATGCAGAAAACAATACCTCAAAGTACGGTGCTTTGGTATATGAGCATGTTTCAATTAAAAGAAATTGAAAGACCTTAGAAACTGCCTCAGAACCAAGGACTTCTTCACCTTCTCTTGTTTCTCCCCCATCAAGGGTTCACTCTGGAACTTCCCTTATCTAACTGCAGGGAGGCGAAGGCCCCGAAAGCCCCATGGGACATGACCAAATCAGCATTCCACTGGAGGCTATATGATCAAACAGCAAACTGTTTATCGTGACTGGAGGCTGTGAGCAAACTCATGATGCTCCTGCCGACAGAAGGTTTGCTGGAGGCAATCACTCCCTGGCACCGAGGTTATCTACTGGGACATCTAGACAATACAGTCTTTCAAGCCTACTCTGGACTGAGCAGCTGACCTCTTCTTCCAACCAGCTTCTCACTATCTCTTTTGCCTAATAAAGTTGATTCTTCTGTTTTCTCC